CCCGGAGCCTGCGGTTGGCTGGGTTTGGGATGCGCCCTCTCCTCTTGCCGGTGCCGGTCCCCTGGGTCCCATGGAGCACCCCTCCCCCCGCACGGCTAGAGGAGGGTTGGAGGGGCTCCCGGTAGTGTGCCCAGGGGCAGATGCCTCCCCTGCACTTCCTCCACACCCCCGACCTGGCTTCTCAACAGGCACCAGGGGGTGCTGTGAAGCGGACCCAGCCCAGTGGGTCTTCGGACCCACGCCACGGGTAGTAGGGCACAGTGACCAGCGGGACTCCCTTTAGGCCCTCACACCCTATCAGGCAGGGACCCCCAACCCTGCAAGCAAGGAGCAGGGTGCTCAGCCGCAGTCGCTTGTCCCTGCTCCCACTAGGGCTCCGGGGCACTTGCCAGAAGCCTAGCACAGAGACCTGGCTGTGCCAGCTACCCCGCTGGGGTCCTCACCAGTTGAGGTTCTGGAAGCGCTTCTGGTAGCTCTGTGCTCGCCGCACCTTGCCTGTGTCCCGGTCCTCCAGCTCGATTCCGTAGAACCCCAGCATGAGCTCGTAGGCCTGGACAAGCCGCCGCCCGGCTTCCTGGGAGTTTTTAAAGGCCTGGAAAGCAGCCCGAGGAGAGTGAGCGCTTTGGAGCCGCCCCACAGACACCTGGCTGGCGATGCCCCCTCAGGTCTGACTCACTAGTGGCGGGGACTGGACTCAGACTCAGGCTGAAGAAGCCCTAAAACTCCTTAATGTGACCGTCTCTTTACTCTGAGCGTCTACAAGGCCACCAGGGCCTGAAGTGTCCACTTTAGCCCTGAGAGGAATTCTCAAGCCGCTGGGAAGAGCTCAGGACTCGCCAGGGCGGCATCGTGCACTCGCCATGGCCTAGGAGCATGTTGCGCCTCCTGACATGCTCAGTGGCTCCCCCATCCATCCCTCTAGGGGTCCTGCTCTAGCCCCAACAAGGGGCGACAGAGGCTAGCCCCTGCCCCAGACGCCCCAAGGTAGAGTGATTTCTCTGGAAGTCTGTGAGGAGTGCCTGGGGAGAGGTGAAGAACATTTTAGAGGGAAGATAATTAGGGGGACTTCCAGCTTCTGCCCTATGAGTGGCTCCCCAGGGGTACACAGAGGCCCGGCTCACCTCGATCTCCTGCTGTGTGAGGGGCTTGGCATGCCAGTTCACCCCTGGCTCCCGCAGAGGAAACAGCCTGTGGGAGAAGAGATAGCACAGGCCCGTCCCTGGCAGCCGCGGGCTCCCGGCAATGCAGGCACATGCTCTGGGCAGCCTGGAGTGGCTCACCACTCAACCCTGGGAGGGGCTCGCCAGACACACACGCCACAGGCCCTCACAATAAAGTCAAGGGGCGAGGGCAGGAGAGCTCCAGGTGGGCATCACAGACCAGGGCACAGGACAGGCACGGGGCCTACAGCAAGGGCAATCAGCTAGCCGCTTCACTCAGGCCGGCCAGCTGTTCCTTCTGTTCTTCGTTCTTCCCCTCTCATCACTGGTGCCGAGAGTTCCCTGTGCCCAGGAGAGGCCCCCGGGAGCCGTCCTCAAAGACACACAGTTTGCAGGGCGACCACAAGCCACGCAGGACAGGCCGCATTCGCTGCCACGGGGCTCATGTGCGGCAGGCTGCTGTCTGCTGTCCTTCCTGCCCCACACGCAGCCTCAGCTCCCAGCAGCCCAGAGCTGCTCACAGTGAAGAACCCCAGCCGGCAGTGCCCGCAGCCAGCACCAAACTCGGCTTCAGAAAGGATGCAGTGTGCCTGCAGGCATGCATGGGACTCCAGAAAGAGGCTTGCCTAAGCCAGGCCTTCCAGCCCCTCCCCTGGAGACCCTCCCCAGAGGTCCAGCCCCATCTCAGCCGCCCAGCTCGGCCCCTCCTCCCCAGGAGTCCCAGCCCCTCCCCGAGGCCGAGCCCGCCTGTGCTCACCACTGGATGTAGGAATGGTTGTCCTCCAGGAGGTCGTAGTTGTTCCTCCATTCCTTAAGAATATACTCAATGCAGTAGCCTAGAGCACCATGGGACGCATCAGAGTCAGCGGGGAGCTATTCAAGCGCTACCCACCTTTTTTTTTTTAAATCCTCACCCAAGCATTTCCCCCCCACTGATTTTTAGACAGAGTGGAAGGGAGGGGGAGAGACTGAGAGAAACATTGATGTGAGAGAGAGACATCAACTGGTTGCTTCCCGCACGCACCCTGATTGGCATGGAGATCGAGCCTGCAATGGAGGTAGGTGCCCCTGACCAGACTCAAACCCATACCCTTCTGTCCGCAGGCCGATGCTCTACCCACTGAGCAACTGGCCAGGGCCACCACCTTTCCTGAGGACCTTGGGGCTCTGCAGCTCTGAGTTGTACATCTTATGTGATTTAACCCCCCAGTTTAGGCCCTTGGCCTCTTTGCAACCTGAGAGCAGATGCCAGAGAGACGATTATGCCCGAGGGAGGGACAGGTGCTCCCCGACCTGCACCTGTCTTTGCTGGAGGGTCCTCACTGCCCCTCACACCAGGGCTTGTCATCAGAACTCTGCCCTCACACAGAACCTGCAGCTGAGCCCCACCCCGTAGCTGGTCTTCCGCCGGCCACTGTGTCTGCGAAGGGTCCGGCTGAGCATTTACGGTGTGCGGCCACATGGCCTCCGAGCACGCTGCATCCTAGGGAAACAGCCAGACCACGGGTTCCAATCACACTTCCCTCAGGGCTCGGACGGCCTGGCTCTGCATGGTGCGTGCCTGGCTGAGCATCGAGCTAGGAACCAGGAGGTCACAGTTCGATTCCCAGTTGGGGCACATGCCAGTGTGGGGGGTGCAGGAGGCAGCTGATCAATGATTCTCTCTCATCACTGATGTTTCTATCTCTTTCTGCCTCTTCCTTCCTCTCTGAAGTTAATAAGGAACATGTATATGTATATATATGTATATAAACTTCACTCATGGACACTGAAATTTGAATTTCATATAATTTTCAAGTCATAAAATATTACTCTACCTTAAAATTTTCCCAACCATTTGAAAATGTGAAAACCACACTTGCTCACTCGTTGGTGTATGTGGCTCTCCCACTCGGCAGAAGAGCCAAGTAGTTGTGACAGAGACCTCGGGGCTGCAACACCACCCGCATGTACCGCTTGGTCCATCACAGCAAGTTTGCCTGTGGGGGGCGCTGTGGGGGGCAACCTGAAAGCTATAGGCCCCAGTGCCCCAGTCCCAGCCCAGGTCCCAGCAGCCCAGGTCCCAGAAGACCCAGAGGCAGAGAGAGGGGAGAGGGGACCCGCAGCAGGAGGGAGCTGCAGGCGGCCAGGCACGCACCATTGGGCCGGAACGGGATCTCGTTTTTGTAGAAACTCAGGTTTGGCATGTCACCATTGCTGTCCCCTTCCATCAAATCCTAAAGAGCCAGAGAGAGTGCCGGTGACAGAATCAGAAACAGGCTGGCCTACCTGGGCCCTCAGACTAAAGCTTTCCTCGGGGAGGGGCATCTGCTCTCCACTGGAAAACACCAGACATCCTGAAGGCTGGTGAGGGCCCCATGGGGCAACCTGGGCTCCTCACCACCTCTGACCTCCTCCCCCTTCCCACAGTGGCCCAGTGCTGGGTGGTCCCCTTCATCTGCACCCGGAGGCGGCCCAAGGGCTTCCTGAGACTCATGGGTGCGGAGGGCAGGGACTGAGGACACAGGAGACACTGCAGGGGCCGGCGGTATGGGGCCTCACGTGGCCGTGCCGAGAGCTGGCACCATGATGCCTAGTAAAGGCAAGGCCGCTGAGGCTCCAGAGGCAGGGGCCAAGGAACACGCTGTGCCACTGGCCTTGTCCGGGTGGAAGGCGGGAGGGTTTTGCCCCAGGTGGGCTGCGAGGGCTCGAGGGTGATTCAGGCAGCTACGTACCGGGTAGTGGTGCCGGTACCTGCGTGTGTCCCGCATGGCTCTCCAGTTTGGGGACTCCGTCATCCTAGACTGGGAAGAGAAGAGAGACGATGAGACCCCATGGGAGATGCCCCACTCCCTAGAGGCCTGCCAGCAAGCAGACCCCCGCTCCTCGAGTGCCATTCTGGTGAGGGCAGCAAGGACCTGGGCCGGATGTCAACAAAACCAGAGGAGCCCAGAGTGGCTGGAGTGAGGCCTGCCCCCTGCTCAGCCCTCAGGACCCCCAGGCCCATGGGAACATTCTTGGGGGGCAGCCTTCCAAGCTCCAGCTTCACTTATTGGCTACCCCCCTCAGCTGCAGTTGTATCTCCTGAGGATAGCCCGCCTTCCGCAGCACTTCCTCCTTGTACTGAGCTGTAAATTGTCACCAGGCCTGTGTCCCAAGGACAGCACCTTGCCACTGACAGCTCTAGAAGGGGCCCACACCTCGTCACAGGGTCTGATGAAGGAACCAACGACCAAAGCCCAGGGCGCCAGGCCCATCCCGCCCAATCCCACTGCTCAGTGACCAGACCCTGGATCTCCTGGCCACCGGCCCCTTCCCTGCAGCAAGTCAGAGGCTCCTCGCTTCCCTCCCAAACCAGCAGCCCTATCTCTACAGGCCAAGCACCTGGGTCCCGGGAAGGATGAGAGGTAACTGGCAAGCAGGAAGCTAAGTAAATGCAGCCTCCCCCCCCCCCATTGTTTCATAAATAAGCCCCTGTTACACAGGGGGGGGCACAGGCAGGGCGGGGCCCAGCTGTCTGACTGAGGCTGGGGGAGGGGGCGCGGGAGTGGCAGAGACAGCTCATCCTGGGCAGACAGCTGGGTCCCAGCACCTGGGAAGAGCCAAGAAGTGGTGGAGGGGCCAGGAGGCCAGGTCCACCACTGCGCCTCCAGGCTCCAGCCCCTCCCCAATCCCCAACACCCCTCAGTGGTCTGAACTCCAGCCAGGTCCAGGGCTGCGCCCTGCCAGCTGCTTAGGTTCTCTCCTACAGGCCAAGGGCCAGGGAACAAAACCGAAACTCAGCGGGCGCATGTCCCACTTCTCCACCAGTTTCTGTTTCTCCTGCCCCTGGGCCAGCGGGCACCATACGGGCAGCACTGCAGGTGGAGTCCTCTGGGGAGCGGTCAGAGCAGGCCTCCAGCAGTGTGGCCTGTGGAACTGGGCGGACAGCGTCCTCCACCTAACCCTCGCCACACCCGCTGGGGGACAGAACCGATTCCTGCCCCGTGACTCCAGGCCCACGACCCTGACCACTGCCCAGCCTGCCTCCGCAGGGAACTTGTCCCTGCCCCAACACTGGGTGCGCTGAGGCCACTGCCTTTCAGGCAGGCCCAGGAGCCTCTCGGGGTCCCTCTCTTTGATCCCTGTAAGACATTGATAAACCTGAAAACCACTGTTCTCCTCTGGTCCCGGGAGAATCCATCCCAGAGCCCACCTGGATGGCTTCAAGATTCTCTAGACACAGGCAAGATGCCTTAATCCAAAAGCAAATGGGACCCAGGGTGCCGGCTACCATTCCGGGTGCCACCCCTCCCTAACTCCTGGCGCCCAGCTAGAGCAGTGGCACCCACACCCCAGTGCATGCTAGCAAATAGCCCCTGCTAACAAGTAACCAGTGGCAAGACAAGTACTTGGTGGCAACAAAAGTAACAGTGCAACAAGTAACCGGTGGTAACCAGAAGTAACCACTGGGCACAGCCAGGGGCCCTGGCTCCCAAGCCACATGAATGCGCCCCGAGGCACCTCCAGGAGGGGGGAAGACCAGCCCCAGCCCAAGAGGAGCAGCAGGGGTGGGTCAGGCGCGGAGGGGAGCGGGGGTGGGGAACAGGCCCCGCCCGGTGCTCCCTGAGGGGCAGTGGGCAGTGGAGGTGGCCAGCACCGAGCGCTGGGATCTAGAAGACAGAGCCCCAGGCCTGGAGGTGGATGTGAGAGAGAGGAGGTCAAGGCTGTGCCAGGGGCACCCTTTTGAGGAAATGCCACCCCTACACACATTCAGTCCTGGGCACCTGTCTTAGGGTGGCCCTGGATCTCTCTGCAAAGCCTCCTGTCTGGGCCGGGGGTGGGGGTGGCAAGCAGGGGCAGATCTCAGGGTGTCCATCAGATTATGAGGGGAGCAGGAGGACCAGGGTGGGGAACAGGGCATAGCTGGAGAGGGAGTCGGCCCCCAAGTCGGGTCTCCAGGAGATGCCTCCGTCCCCCGACCCCCCACCCACGGCGGGGGGTGAGGGGGAGTGGACAGTTTTTCCCAGATCAGGGCCTGGCTCCAATTCTGGGGTGTG